AATTTTTCTAAACCCTTAAACAACTGCTTCATTGTCTTAATGTGTCAAACTCCTTTTCAATTGAATTGATGATTTGAGTTTTACAAAAACGTGGACTGAGTAAAAGTGCGATATAGTCTTGAATAAAATCAACAACTTCTGAGACATCAATAGAATAAAATGATTTTTTAGTAAAACGCATATTATCAAGGTAAATTTCTTGTAGATCTCCAATCATTCGTGTCAGGTTTTTTGGTGAATATTCAGTTGATTTCTTCTTAACGTAAACAACTGAAGACTCAGATTGAGGTGAAGTGGGAACTGGTAGCTCAACAGTTGGAGTAGCTTCTGAAATAATAAATAAAATGATTTTTGATTTATTGTATTACATTTACCTTTAGAAGATGAAGTATGAACTGGTGATGTAGTAGCCTCTCCACAACTAGTAAGATTAAATTCTTTTGCTATTTCATCAGCTAGAGCTGGATCAGCTCCTCCACTATTACTTTTAACAGAGTTACACAGCATTCTTAATGTAGGGACACCATGGCTCTTTTAGTCATAGTCCTTCCTTAACCAGCAATCAAATACTTTCCGTAGACAAGTTCTTGGCGGCTTGCCCTCTGCTTCAATCTCATCCGCTATCTTATTAGGGCTCAGTCCTAACAGAATACCAATAGAGTCCCAGCGTCCTGAAAGAACACCAGCTTTTTCCCATACCAATTGAAAATCGCTAATATCTATCATTAATAATTGGGCGAAGCCCACTAGTTCGAGTAGAGTATGTTTGTCTGTCCATAGATACTACTGTTTGTAGTATCTATGGTCTGTCTGTCTGTCTGTACACGTACGTCACCCCTATTTATCCGTATGAAAAATTTTCCTATTTTAATAACCTAATCTTAATCTTCTTTGAAAACGGGCGTGGTCACAGTGAAATAAAATGGCGCCAGCTATCAATTCTTCATGTTCTTGACCTTACACATAGGCGGCGGCAGGGTCGGGCATGGACGGGCAATGCCCGACCAAAAATTTTGGCCGGAAATGAAAATTTAATTAATGACATCATTTTTAGTCATAAATAATTACCATGGCTAGCAAGAGACAGTCTTTTCTGCTTTCCTTTGTCAACAAGCCTTCCAGGAGGACCAGGAATAGCATTTTACAGGTTGGATAGAGCTTTACAGATAAGATAGGGGGCCTTTTAGGCTCATTTTTATGCTATACCATATTGTATGAGTGCGTTGAGTATACGCCCAAAATACGTGGGGAAAAGTGGGTGTGGCCAAAATCGCGGCGCGCTTCGCGCGCCATTTTTTGCCCCACTACTCCTTAAATCCTGCCGCCGCCTATGACCTTACAAGTTACAAGTCACTCACTTGAGTCAGCAAGAATGCAAGAGAAGTCTCTACTGTGAGCTTGTAAAGCCTCCACAACTACTGACATGACCTATGACTGCAGTTACTGTCTCTGGCTTCCAACACAACTTTTTTGCTGCAGAATGTGATAAACAGATAAAGAAAATTTGTATTTCCAAGCATGATAACTTCATTACAAACTTACAAACTACTGTATTTACTCATGTACATGTACAATAATGTAGCTCTATACCATATAACCTTTAAAATATAGCGTGGCTAGGGGGCTGAGCCCTTAATGTTTTACATTCGTCTAGTACTAATAAAACAA